ACATTTGATGTATTACTAGTCTTCTTTTGGTAGTGCCACATTCCCCAAGATATTAAAGTGTTAGGTTCCAAAAGGATATATTCTTTTAGATTTTATTCTACCCAATTAAGCCCGAGGACTAAGTCACATTGAAACTATTAATTGTATTTGAAACTTAGGTTCCATAGCCAAAAACATTTCTAGAAACCACATGAAGTCCAAGCTCTCCAACCACTCTTTGGAACAAAAATTAAAACTGATAAGGGGCTTTTTCTTATGAAACTGACAGATCATGACTACATTTGGAAATTCATACTAGAATTAAGAAGTTTAATCTTATTTCATTTTGAGAAAATATAAAACAATGAAAGTTTTCTGCCTCCTTGCTTACTCAGAAGGAGGAACAAAAATAAGAATCACCTAAAAATATACATGGCTCTTAGCATAACCACAAAATTATTGTAGTGACAGATTAAATAAGGTTTCAGATAGATTTATAGACTTAACTGGCTTACAAAATGCATTAAAAAAACCTTTCCATACTTACCAACATGAAGAATGGAGTCTACTGCTGGTAGTGAAAATCAGTTACCTAAACTACACTAAACGTACAATGGACTGATTCCCACCCCCCCAGCCACCCCCAACCCCCTACTAAAACTCATATGTAGTTGTGTAAAAATTAAGTCAGAAAATTTCCTTATGGCTCGTAACTGTCACTTTATGCTAACCAGCATGGCTGTAATATTAACATGTCTAAAACTAAGGAAAAGGAATGGCGCTTCATGAATAAAAAGGAAGTGTGAAACCTTAATCAAGTGGAATACTTGGATGAAATAAGCTTATTTAAAAACTAACATCCCAACTTGGGAAACTCCTAATGAGTTCTAAACACTTTTGAACTTTAGAACCTGATGTTTACACTTTTTATAAAAGATGCCTCTTGACTAGGGCTAGCAAGCAGTGTGTACACAAATAGAAATGTGTGCAAATATACACACACTAATTTCACTAATAATAAAGAAAAGAGAACACAACTAATTTCAAATGCCGAATTCAAGAACCTAGTACCATAAGCCTCCTGGCGCTATAGGCTTTTCCATGGCTGGAGCAATGATTAAATTTTAACTGAAAATTTTTCTCAAGTCTCCAGTGCCATTAAAAATAAGGCATGCCAACTCTGACTTTTTATAAGTCTAAACTACAGTGCTCTGGAAATTTCTGTAACGTAAGAGCCTGAAGCATTGAATTGTGACTCATTTATTTTTTTTTCTTATTAACCTTCTGAGGTAGAGTTACCAATCCAATTTTATCAGGACCGTAGTTATCTTGAGCTAAACCCCATAATCTTTTCAGAAAGTGAAAGTAACTTTTGAAAGAAAAGAAAAAAAGGCTTCCCAGGCCATGGCACATAAAATACACTTATAATTTTAATGTAATAATTAAAAAATAAAAATGGTTTGTGTTTATATTTTAAAAAACAGCCCAGCTGTATTACTCTGTCACCAAGAATTGCTATCTGAGGATCCCGTCAGTGCTGAGTTTTACAGTTCAGCCTTCACAATCCCATCCCTGATGAACAGTTAGTTCCCTCATGGTATGCACAATATACTCACAACTTTCGGCCTTCTCTTAGAAGGCTCCATCTAAGGCTTCCCTTAGAAGTGCCCCTTCTGAGCAGGATGGATATGAAGAATGTGATTCATTCAAACAACTCCTCCCTGTTCTGCTCCCTCCTTCAACATTCCCCTCTTCTCAAAAACATCTGAAGTATGAAGTTGTTTTTAAATAGTAGAAGCACCACAATCCATTAACACCACATATGGTCTTTAAACTGAAATATTTTAGGGATGTCTTGGACATCAAAATTGATTTCAAGGTGGATTCTGAGTGTGTGGGTCCAGCCCAGGTCTGCAGTTTGTGCAGACACAAACAAAAGAAAGTTAAAACATTCAGAAAAAGTTAACCTGCTGGCTTAAAAATAATGCTGGAAATCCAATTTTTTCAAAGAGTTGGCAAGCATGGGCTATTGGTCAGAATATGAGTTACATGGATTTACAAAATCATTAAGAAACAAATCCAAGTTTATGTGCTGTGAGATAGGCTGCTCGTAATTTTTTTTATAATGCTAAATCTCTCAATTTTTGATGGAAAAAGAATACAGATGGACTGTGTTTTACCTATGTGAAAATCACCAATCCATTGAAAATAAAATCCAAGAGGGTATATACATTCTAATCAAGTCATTGATTATTTTCCTGATTAATAAGAACTACACTTTACACAAAATACTTTATCAGCAGCTGTTTTCATCAAAAAAAACCAATATTCATAGTTTCACAGTTGAAAAAATTACACATTAAAATATTTTACAATTCATTGTATATTCACCAGGTTCCCATTTCCTAAAGGGCTTGTAATATAAAGCAGATTAGAAGGGAAAACCCCGATTCCTTTGACACTGAGTTTTACAGAGGACACTAAGAACCACAGAAAGCTTAGGTTCTATCATAAAATAGTGACCAAATTCCATTCTTCTTTAAAAAATCCAATTAGAAACATCTTTTTTAAAAACCAAATTCTACAATATGATTAACAGATTTCAAATTAACAGCAGTCTAAAAATCTTCAAAATAAATGATTTTTGTATACTGAGAATATGATAAAAAGTTAAAACATGATTTTCAGATTATATCTTAGTAGAATGTGTTTAAAATTAGGTTTTCTTTAAACCTGCTTGGTTTTTCTTTTTTTCCTCCAAAATAGTCACTGAAGGAACTATTTCTCAAGTGACCAAATGAAACTGTAAAGTCAATAGTCACACCACATTCAATGACAAGGATGGTTGGCCACAGGAACTGACCAATCCATGGTAAGTGATAGGACACTGAAGTACCTGGAAACGGCTTACCACTGACTTGACAGCCTAGTCACCCCATGTAGCATTCAATTTTTGATTCTTTGCCTTCTGAGCACTACCTGACCCCTTTTTCTTATTTCTAATGTTGTTTGCTTAAACTCTACTTGGATTCTTTTAAAATTTGCTTTGCTTTTAGCTAGAACGCTTAATCTACATTCTTTGTAAAATTTGTCTACACCTCTTCAAATAGAATTAATTAACTTGGTTGTAATAACTGTTGAAAATAAATGTAAAGAATAAATAAGCTATGTGGCTGTGTTTTAATCGTGGAGAGGTCTCAGGGGAAGAGGACTAGCTGGACTGACGTGAGACATGCAAAAATCATGTAAATTTTGTGCAAGGAAGCTCAAAGCTTTTTTGGCACTCGGGTAAATGCTGTTCTCTCTTAAATCTTCAGTCTCCACCATCAGTTTCAGATTTGTACCATTTCATTAAGTTTTCCTGTAATTAATCCCTGATATAGAAAAGACTGGGATGTTAGTATGTATTAACTGAATATATCTAAAAGGCACAAAATGTTAAAGAAGTTTTAATAAGTTATGAAATCTACATCTGCAAAAGAATCTATTTGGCTTCCTGCTTAAAATGGGAGTTTAAATTCTTCTTAACTATTCCAAGACAGTTTATAGAAATAAGTTCCCTTAATCTTCAAATTTATTTTTCTTGTTGGCAATATTATATACATGCTTTAGTGAAGTACCTAAGTCTCCAATAATTAGGCCCTTTAAGGGCTCTAAAATAGCCAAATATTAAGAGTATTTGTATTAGAGTCCCTTGTTTACTATTCAAGACTTCTATTATAGGTAACTGATTTCATAAATGAATATCGTTTAAGTGATGCTGTTTTACTAGAGTATATAATGTGCACTTTCTATAGAGTTTGGTATTCCAATAATATGCCTAATCTAGAAAACTGTCAGTAAATTATTGCACTTTTTCTGGTGTGGCACCTGGACATTTGCTAAAGCTATTTCCTAGGGCATTAATCATTCATTTCAAATACTGAGTAAAATATCAGATTCTAGAGTGATGACTAGCATTAGCCCCTACACCTTGGGTTAATGTTTTCCAAAGTGTTTTAAGAATGTATCCTGCACTCAAATGCAATTTAATAAAGTTGGACAGTGAGCCCTAATAGCTTGGAAATGGGACATGATCTTAAAATGGTTTAAGGTCCTACTTTTATTATCCAGATATTGCATAAATAGCCTAAAAAGGTAAAAAGTTCATGGTTTCTATTCCCCCATACTATAAAGTATTATTCATGAGCATACCTTGGTAGAAGGGTTGAAGCAATCAGGAAGATACTCTATACTGTGTTAATTTTGGTAACTAGTTTCCTGACTGAGGCATTATCGACTATAAAAGAAGATGGAAAATGGGGGAGTCATATGAAAACAGAAAGAAATAAAACGAAAGAGGATGAACTTTAATCTGTTTTCCTTATGCAGTTATACACTAGTCACCGGTATAAATGGGATAGTGCCTGAGCCTCACCCACAGACCAAGAAGAAAGCTGACCATGCTGCTACGAACAATAAAAAATTTGGGGTGCAAAACAATGCATGACTATGGGACAGATCATGTAAATAAAGAATATATATTAATGATAGTTTCTATAATATAAATAGCCTTTAATAAAAAAAATAATCTTTTTAATAACATTAATACTCACTTCTATTTTCTGGAAACATGCATGAAAAATGTATTCAATTCAATTGCAAAAGGAGAAAAAAAAAATCAACCTACGGTGAATACTGTACAATTCTGGAGCAAGAACTAGTCCTGCTCATTCTTTCTCTCTGATGATTATTGTACTTTGTGGGAGCCCAGAATTTCCCTGGGAAAGAAGAATCAGATTCTTGTAAATACTGCCCAAAAACACCACCTTATAACAGGTCTCATTTGTGACTGCTTCCAAAACTTTGCAGATAAGACCCCAAATCATCAAAAGGTTTGATTTATTAAAAAGGAAAAGTCTCTGGTGAAATCTCAAGAGTCCCTTCCACCCCAAGCATTTTTTCTTCATTAAACAAGGAGTCAAAAAACCCACTTCAAACTATAAATTGAACAGCAATGGAAAAATAAGAAATCTTCATTATTTTCTAATCTCAATGTAATTTAACACCAAACTTCAGTTTCCTTGGACCTAATGCAATAATAGACTTTGTTGTGTCCACAATTTCAAAACATAGAACATTTGCAAGACAAAAAAAGAACATCATTCTTTTTCCTTCTCCATCATTTCTATATATTTTGGGGTTTTTTTGTTTTGTTTTCTTTTTTAAAAAAAGATACAAACAATCTTCAAAGTTTACCTTTTTGGACTTAAGGCATAACATGAAATTGCGCATTATTCTAAAGCTTAATTTTGAAATGAACTAGTTTAGTGCTCTCAAACCCTGTTTGCGTTTACATTATTTAAATTATATAGTATTTTATTTCTGTTCTTGTGTAAATTCTAATGCTGTTCATGGATTGTGCAATTCCTATGCAATCAGTCTTTGCCTGTTGACAGTTATTAACAGTGCAGTATAGAATCCAGATAATGAGCCTTCGGTTTCTGTTATCATTTCAGTTCAAAGCATGCTGCTTAATTGTGTGGAAGATCCAATCCATTTTTGTTGTCCAGCCACCATGATGTGCATCATTCATTTGTTTCATGAAATATTCCAAAGCCTCTTGTTCAGTTTTATCTAAAGCTAGGGTCTTTCGAATGTATGCAATATCATCAAAAGATTGTAGTTCTGGCATTCCAGAGCCAAGCATCATTGAGAAAAGATTTATGAAGAGATTGGCATGCTGCCGAATAGCTAGATAAGCCTTGTAACACATCTCCTGAAACCTATAAGTAATAAGAATAGTTGATCAGTATGGAGCAAATGGGGTTAATACCTTCAGGTCTCTGCTCAAATGTCACATCATTAGAGAGGCCTTCTTGGGCAAACCTATAAAAAACAGTCTTCCTCTCCCACTTCCCTTACCAACACTTTCTGTTCTCTTTACCCCATGCTAGAATGTAAACTCCGTTAGTCCATAAGGATTCCATTTACTTCTTTATCACCAGCACCTTAGGATAATGCCTGGTACATCAGCAGTTTACTAAGGATTTATTAAATATAAGAACTGGTCCATACTAAAGCCTTTACGATTTAGGCTAGGGCCAGGACAGAGTTGCAGATAAAATGGAATTTTATACAAGGTTTCTGAAAGTACTTTAGGTTTAAGATAGACTGATTATATACCAGAAAGCAGTCAGAAAAATTATAAATAAATGTGGTAATTACAGCTGAATGATTTCCTCAAATTGTAGGACTAAAAAATATTGTCTTAAGCACTATACATTATTTATCAGTATAGAGAAGGTGTAGTCCAATTATTTAAATAGCAGTAAATAAAAACCTTTAATATATTAAGAAGTCTAAGAATCACTTTCTTAGCCCTTAAACCATTTCAGGCCTTCATTAATAAATTGGTTTTTCTTTCCATTTTTCTTCATAGCATTATAAATAAATACAATAAAACAAGAATAAATAAATACATTAAAATGCTCAGGCCAGAATGTTAATAAAACATATTTTAAATTGCTTGAAAAATATCAATTATTTTTGATAAAGCAGCAAGAATTCTGTACTTTGTATTTTTGATTTCTTGAACTTACCTCTCAAATTCTCTTGTCTTTGTGCATTCTTGGGCTCCTTTACTAATCACTATTAAGAAATCTTGTGTCAAAACAAATGGCACACGTTCCCGTTTATAACCAAATTTTTTCTTCTTGTGATCCAAAAAGTGTCCAAAATCTATATGAAACAGCTTTCAAAAATAAAGAATTATATTATAGCTTGACAAATGCAGAAATACAATATCCTGAATTAATAAATTTAAGAATGTGAAAACATTTTAAAAAGAGAAAGCTATTACTTGTCCATCATCTTTAACCATGATGTTACTATTGTGACGATCTCCAATGCCCAGAATGAAGGTAGCGACACAATAACCAGCACATGAACGTGTGAACAGGTCAATGGCTGCATCATATCTACAAAGAAGAAATAAACACCTGGTGAGTAGTGTGGTAATATAGAGTAATCCAGTCCAAATGGGGAAAAGATGGTCAAAGTCTGTATTGAAGAGTGACAACAATCATTGACATTAAGATGAGGAAGTAATTATATCCAAAGATTTGAGGTAGAAAGGACATTTCTGGATATCCTCTGACTAAAGGCGTAAGTCTTATTATGGTGAAAAAATACTGAAGGTGTCATGAAAAAAATTTTCTTCTAATCATTTTAACAATGAACCAGAAGTAAATTTTGAAATGTTCAATGTTGACCTTGAAAAAAAATAAGGAGAAAAAAACACATTTTCGATACCTAAAATTGGATGTATAAAGTTGGGTAGATAGGGATTCACCAAAATTATAAGTAATTCTGATCAAACACAAAATCTCAAATATTTCAAAAGGTGAGCATATTTTTTTTCCAAAGTAAGTACAAATGTTTTCTCTGGTCTCAGAGAAATGTACGCAACTATTAAAAGACTCGTCTAACAAAACCTTAGATTGACATAGGAAAAAAAGAGTAACAGACTCACATTTCTCCTTTGTTCTTGTCTTTGAGCCACTGATGGAGTGTGTGGCTGTTGAATTGCAGAGCACCTTTCAGGCCACCTTTGCACTGAATCTGCATAATCGTGTGAGAATTTCGCACCACCTCAATAAGTCCCACACAGTCACCAATTGACAGACAACCATAAGGTAACATTCTGAAAAGGATCAAGACATTTGCAACTAAGTGATGGAATTTTAAAACAACAAATGTTTTAATAGGCTAATACAGGAATATTCTTTATGCAAATTTGTCATGCATGACCTTTATTCCTTTAACTTTCTCTTTTAAAATTAGAAAAATACTAGAAAAATCCTCAAAATTATCTGCCATCATTTGTTATAACCTTCAGCTGAGAAAGCACCTAATTGTATGAAAGAAAAGCACTAAGATTATTGTGGCAATTAAAATTTTATAAACATTTATGACTTAAAAAATATGGGTGAATTTCAGCTTGTTTAGCTGACATCTAAATAATACTTCAGGGCAGCAGTTCTCAAATTTTTGGTCTCAGGACTCCTCTATACTCTTAAAAATTACTGAGATCCCAAAGAGCTTTTATTTATGTGGGTTATATCTACTGATATTAGCAATCAAAATAGAGAAAAAATTAAAGTATTCATTTGAAAATAAACTATTATGTGGTAATATAAATAACATCTTTTATGAAACAAAGAACCTTATATTAAAAAAAATTCTTGGGGTTCCTGGGTGGCTCAGTTGGTTAAGCATCTGACTCCTGGTTTCAGGTCAGGTCATGATCTTGCGGTTGTGGGGCTCCGTGCTCAGCACTGAGTCTGCTTCAGATTCTCTCTCCCTCTTCCTCTGCCCTGCACTCTCTCTCAAATAAATAAATAAAATCTTTAAAAAAGAAATTCTTAGTAAGAAGAGTGACACTTCCCCATATTTTCAAATTTCTTTAATGTCTGGCTTCATAGTACTGAACTGGATTCTCATATATACTTCTGTATTCAATTTAATGCAATGTTTTAATTGAAGCATATGAAGAAAATCTGGCCTCGTACCATTATGTAGGTAGAAAAAGGAGGAGTACTGTAATACACTTTTCAGATAATTGTAGGTATTTTTCTTTGATACTATTCCAAAACTGGACAAAATGTAGTTTCTCAAGTTGCAATACGGAATGTGAAACCATATCAATAAACTCGTCAGACAGATTTTAATGTAACATAGTATATCTTGCCTCTGAATGGAACTTTTACCCATATGTGACTTGATCATATCCTGCACTGGTCATTTGGAAGATATTAGTTCACTGAGTTACAAAGATCTTTCAGATGGTGATACTTTTCATTGTACCAACTAAAAAAATCACAATTGTTAATATTACCACTGATCTCATCAGAAAAGTCTTTACTTTGGGGGAGCTCTTATGCTTATGGTGGTACATACAATTTTTTCCAAATTCTAATTTTTGCTTGAAAGCTCAAATTTGATCTTTGACAACAAATACTGTCAGTTGTTCACCTTGAAGAGATAGGCTCATATCATTCATTTTCAAGAAAATGTCTGCCAAATACCCATGTCTCATAACAAAAGCTTATCTATTAGTTATTCTTTAAGTAAAAATGGTTCCATGAAAAAAGCAGCTAGTATGGCTTGCAATTCTTTAATAACCCACAAATGCCTTTTCTTGATAAAACCATACTTGGTTATGCAGCAGAAGTGCTATATGGGTACCTCCTATTCATCACCGGGTAGTAAAAAGGACATGTAGTCAAGGGAGGTATAAGCAGTTAAACACACAATGAGAAAAACATCCCAACTGGCACAGAAGTACTAAAGTATGGTTTTTCTTGCTCTGATGTTCTCCTAAGCTACTGTCTATGCTTTCCATCTTTCTTTTACTTCTTTTTAAAAAAGATTTTATTTATTTATTTGAGAGAGAGAGAGTGACAGAGACAGCAAGATAGAGCACAAGCCGGGAGGAGAGGGAGAAGCAGGCTCCCACTGAGCAGGGAGCCCGATGTGGGGCTCGATCCCAGGACCCTGGGATCATGACCTGAGCTGAAGGCAGCCACTTAACTGACTGAGCCACCCTCTTTTACTTCTTAAGTCCCTAAAAGAGTAACAGTCTTCACTTATTTTCATTTTCTCAATTCCATGTAGCGTAACTTCTATTGCTTACCACTCAACTCCTCTTACAGTTAACCATGAATCATCAAATCTAAAGGTTTTTTCATAATCCTTATGCTCTTACATGCCCTGAAGCACCTGATACTATAAACTGTGAATCTCTTCCCTTTTTTGGGTTCTGTGAATTACTTATTCTGGTCTACCTATCCCTTTGACCATTTTTTTTACGGAATCTTTCCTTCTACCTGCCCTGGTAAATGTAGGAATTTCTTAAGGTTGTACTCCTGCTCATTCTCTCTTACATTTTAATAATGTTGAACATGCTCATAGTTTAAAGAGTCACACAGTCCTGTAAGGCTTGTGACATAAAAAAACCAAAACAAACCAAAACAAAAAAAGCAAGCAGAGAATCCAAGTTTTGGCAAGAATAAATCAAAATGCCCTGACTTTTTTACAATAAATTTTTTATTTAAAATCAAACTTTAAATAAAAATTTTTGCTTAAATTCCTTAAGTTAAAAAAATTTAGAAAATATTCTAAGACTTAAAAACTTCTTGAAGATCCAACTTACTTTCCAATGATCTAGCTTAACTTTAAGTGCTTTTTAACAGTCACTAATTTCAAATTAAATACTGTAATTACCAGAGTTATATAGTTAAATCCTTTACTCTGTCTAGTTCTGCATTCTCTTTTGTTTTATACTTCCCTGGGGGCAGTGGTAGTAATGGGATGTATATCTCTCAGACACAGATAATTATACCAAAAGAGGAAACTTGATTCGTGTAACACTGTTTTTAAACAGGAAAGCAGAAGGGACTAAGCAAAGAATCAGGAGTTAAAAATTTGAAGTCGATGACCTAATTTTGTGCTTTTGCAAATTACTTGACATGTCCATTTTTTTTTCTTTGCAACAAGATGATTCTACTATGTGTCACTGATATATTTTTACATACCAGTTACCCTCAATCTTTAATAGGCATACAAATAAGCCCTAATCTGCTCTGCTGGTGCAGCCAGAGTTGACTCCTATGCACACTTATGGACAAAAATTCTTTTGGAGAGAGTGGCTTTGCTGGAATGACTCTAGATTTGCAAAGAGATGAGAAAGAAGGGTACACTGTGAGAAGCAGAAATGACAAGGACAAGATGAAGCATGACCGAAAACTTAACACATATTTGCAGAAGGTTGGGCAGAAACCAACAGAATGGCAAAAGCTTTAAGATGAGTTCTTTTCATAAATTTTGCTGTCAAACTGATTCAAGATTAAGAGGCTAAAGTTTTAAAATTAGAAAAATTATGAAAGAACCTTTCTTTTAATCTCTTAACTTCTGAATGAAAATAGGGGGCTTTTGTGTCTCCTATGTCCTGTCCTAAAAACTGACACTCCAGACACAGCTGCAGTCTTTGCCAACTTAATGAGAGACAGCTCTTCTTGACTAGTGGCATCTCGTAGCTATTCTATGCCAAGGAAGAGGAAGACAAATGAAAGTAGTGTAAGCAACTAGTATTAATTCCTACTCCCTACATTTCTTCATAGATACATGCCCCTTTATGCTTTATAACTGATGTTTACTAATAGTTTACTTTTTCAGGATAACTTTCAACATATATATTGCCTTACTGGTTACCTACCGAAGATCAAGACCTTGATTTTGCCAGATATTTTCCATAATGCGAATTATTTGAAGTGTTAGCATATCTTGCCGTAAATCTGCAATTCAAATAATATGTATCACCACTTAATGCCATAAATGCAAACCTGGGTGTTAGGTCATCACGTTGCTTTCAAACAGAAAATAAATACAGCTAAATTTACTTTTCAAATTAATCTGTAAAGAAGCAGTATTTTGATTCTCTAGCCCATTTCTAAGGTATCTGCATAAACCCATCTATATAACAATGTAGGATAAGCTAGCATGTATTTCATAAAAATTTTATATTTAAAGTACTTATTTTTTTGAATCCTTAAATTTGAACCTGATATTGGGGTTAACAGAATTCAGTGCTGAAATGTCATTTCCCAATGGAAACCCATCCATGATCCTCCTATTGCTTCCTGCCACAGCTTGTTTTCCAAGTACATTAGGACCTTCTTTTATATGATTTCTTAGGAGACTACACCTTTCTTTTGTATCGTATTGTAATTTTATTTTTGTAATTATTTGTTTAATATCTCTCTTCTCCCTGCTAGACTGTAAACTTAAAGAGAACAGGGACTCTGTTTTGTTTATTCTTACAATTTGATGGCCTAGCAATCAAGTATTTATGGAATGAATGGATATTCACACAGCTAAGTAAATAATAGTTAGAAACTTATTTCAGGCCTTCTGATTCTAAATTTAGTACTTCTTTTCTTTTTAATAATTACATATACATTTTCTAGAGGTTAAGACATCCATTTAATATTATGTATTTTACCACATGCATATTCCTTAAATAGCTTTCAATAGTCTTCGTGATTCATAAATATCCTGTGTATAAAAAGACAGCTAAATTCATGCATCATAAGTTCATTAATACTCTTCCTTACCATCCCCATTTTTAAAGATGATCTCATTGTTCTGAAAGAGTAACTCTGACATGATGTCTGGGTTCTCCCAATTCAACCACAGTGGCCTTTTTGCAGAGGACATAATTCGACACTCTTCAAGCCTTTAAAATAGTTAAAAACTTTACTAGGCACCTTACTTTTTAAATTCTTTTTACCCTCAAATTTATTTTAAAATACACAGACAATATAGTTTTTTGGTGTTATAAAAACTTAAAACTTTCTCAATTTCATTTATGAATTCATTTCTAAGGGAGTATAAAAAAATAAATATTAAGCTTAAAACTTTCTTATATAATAGCATATGAATTTTCAACAAATGTAGGGATATTGCCATTCATTTTACAGACATTACATTTCATTTTTGAAATGAAACCAAAAATTCTGGCCAGAGAAAAGTTTTAAACTCTATTATTAAAGTAGTAAAAACTCATTCTGACTAAATACAGTTCTGAACTTAAGAAATCTGAACAACTTATTTTTGCAAGGTAGGACAATGGCAGAGGGAAGCATATATAATTGAACATTCTAATTATAATGGACATTTTAACTTTTCTTAAGATTTTCTCCAGGAAGGGTGCTTGTTTAAATATATCAATAAAACTTCCAATAAGGTTCATTACCTGAGATTTCCTAGTTGATGAGCAGGATTTAGAGGAGATAGGAAACCTTGTAGAGCATCCATGAAATCTGGTCGCCGCATCTGCTCAACTAAAAACTTCATCTGTACCTGATAAATGAACATAATCATGTTTAAAAACTGATTTCGTGAAAGGTGAAACTAGCTGCTAATCTCTTTTATATGTTGGAACCTCAGTATTGTATAGTGTATGAATCCGTATCCTGTATCCTGATTAGAAAGGTTTCTCAGACACAGAACAACACACCACAGGCAGCGGCAGGAGGGGCAGCTGTGTCCTGTCCTGTAAGAACTCTGCACGCTGACACAGGCAATGTTTTGGCTCTAGGGCCGGGCTTGGTCAACGACGGCAGTTTTTGTAAATCAAACTGCACTGGATATAGCCATGCCCATTCATTTAGATACTGGCTGCTTTCACACTAGAATAGCAGAGTTGAGTAGTTACAACAGAGACTGCATGGCCTATGAAGTCTAAAATATTTACTATCTGGCCTTTCAAGAAAAAGTTTGCTGACCTTTGTTATAGAGGAAAAACTATGGAGATACCAGGTTAGCTTAGTAACTTTACTTTTAGGCTTTGCTTTAGAAAACACCATATTCACTTTCTCTTTGTTGGGTTAAAAAACGCCTAGTGAGGCTAAAGGCAATTGTTTGGAAAAGGACTTATAAAAACATTTGTTACACTGAGTCGCACACTATACTCAGGTTCTGGTATGTATGCAGAAACATCTCTTTAATCAACTGAAACCAGAGCCCAGACTGCTGAGCTGTATCAGGCAATAACTGCCATTTTATTTTAGGAAATCTTCATCTATCTAAGATATAAAAGGTAAGTGGGGGACAAAAGAGGTTAGAAGCTAGGAATTCATAATAAATTAATTTTCATGCTGTAAATTTAGTAATAAAAATTTTTTTTTCCTTTTTCACTGTGGCTAAGTAAGTAGCTGGAAAATCTAGTTATCACTGACTAGAGCAGCTCTTGCTCATGTGAAAGGCATTTCTTTTTCTATCACTATCAACCCTAATGTTAGCACACTGCTTCCAATGCTTTATCATTGTTATGATAAAGCATGAAATCACCCAAAGAAACTGTTCTTGTTCCTATGGCATTTTCAGTTCCCTATCACAATTCCATTTTTAAACCAATAGTAATGTGAATAATGACTTTCACATTCCCAATTAATCCACTGTATCAGAGCCAAGCTGTGATATGAAAATTCCAGCTAAAAGAAATGCCTATACTTGCAAATTTAACTAATATCTAGTTTCTTTTTTCTTATCTGTTACAATATAAATATAATAAGTTTTATTCTTTCAAAGCAGTCTAGTCCCCTCTAGCTCATGATTCCAGCATCAGAAACAGTGTTTTTAAAGAGAGCATGTGTGAGCAGGGGCGGGGGCAGAGGGAGAGAGAGAATCTTAAGCAGGCTCCACGCCCAGCACGGAGCCCAGGGCCAGGCTTGATCTCATGACCCTGAGATCATGACCTGAGCCAAAATCAAGAGTTAGATGCTTAACCAACTGAGCCACCCAGGCACCCCCACAATTATTTTCTAATATCATTATTTGAACTTACATTCCACAAGTTCAATAAAATCAACTCAGTTACTCACTCTATGACATTTAGATTAATACAGTAACTTCCTTTAAAATTTTTTTCATGCAGTATCAATGAAGATGTTGGAAAAATTCATTCAGTACCGCTAATTTACATTCTTTGTGCTTGGGGACTAATATATTGGGATTTTTTTTTTCCCATTTCATTAGAGGTGAGGAATGATCTCAGTTTTTACTAAGGATGTGGCAGATTGAAAAAAGGACAGAGAGGCGGAAGAGGTCATGAAAACACATTCCTCAGGTACATCAGGTTAGACTCCCGATGACCAGTGTGTGACGACGTTCACTGCATGACTAAGAGTCCATTTTAAACTTAGAAATGTACAAATTAATTTCTTTACACTTATTTTCGGGGTCATTACTGAAAGATAATAAACGACACAAAATAAGGAAAAATAATTTTAAAAGTCAGGGCTGTGTAAAAGAGAAGGAAGGGAAAGAAGAAAGGACTAACATTTACTGGGCACCGCCTGCGTTCTGGGGACTGTGATATGTACTTCAGTGCATCTCATGTAATTTAATTCTCACAACTACACTATGTAGAAAGTATCACTGACATTTATAAAGGAGGAAAATGGATCTCAAAGACTAAATAATGTGTCTAACATTACATAGTTGAAGAGTTTCAAAAACAAACTAAAGATTCACATACCTTTTGTGTTTCATCCTTCTTCTCTTGTTTGAGAATGTCAGTTAAGTTAATGAGCTTTTCCATAGCCTCAACTTGCCTATTTAGGTGCTTCAAATACATCCCGCATGCACGACAATAGGACTCCAAAAGAAGGCCAAACCTCTGACTAACAGTTTTATTGTGCATCTCAGATCTAAAAGAGCAGCATAAGATTAAAAAAAAAAAAAAGACCCACATACGCACACACTGCATTACATATATGGTCTTAAATAAGTATACGTAGTCTTTTTTTCTAATGTTATAATCATACTAACAATAAAATGATTTAAAATCTATCATTTGAAAGCAAAATAATCAAGAATTTAAGACAGTTCCTGGAAGTGTAAATTTAATAAACTAGCCTATAGGCCTATTTCAACTACTTTTCATTTACTAATCTTAGCACAAGATATATTAACTATAGAGAACAAACTAATGGTTACTGGAGGGGAGGTGGTTGGGGGCTGGGTGAAATAGGTGATGGGGATTAAGGCGTGCACTTGCTTTAATGATGAGCACTGGGTGTTGTATGGAAGTGTTTAATCATTATATCGTACATACTGTAATACCAATATGTAATACTAATATTATACTGCATGTTAACTAACTGGAATTTAAATAAGAACTTAAAAGGAAAGATATATAAACATGAAACAAGTAAATTCAGGACAAAAGTAATAAAATGAATAGGGAGTGAAGAGCGAGTGAGTACTATTTGACTCTTGCGGCATACATGTCCCTTTTCTATACTGTCTTTGAATTTAAGTTATTTTAAACCTAGCTTCAAGATTCCATTTTGATTCATTTTAACATTTAAAAAATCAAGTTAATTATTAAAAAAGTCAATTATAAATCTTTCTAAATTTAGAAAAGTATATGGTTTATGATCTCACTTTGAGTATTAGATAGATCATATTCTACAAAATACTTTTAATTCTTTTATTTATTTATTTGAGAGAGAGAGTAAGAGAGAGCATAAGAGGGGAAAGGGGAGAGAGTGAGGGAGAAGCAGACTCCCCGCTGAGCCGGGAGCCCAGTGCGGGACTCAGGGATCATGACCTGAGCTGAAGGCAGTTGCTTAACCAACTAAGCCACCCAGGTGCCCAAATACTTTTAATTCTTAATTAGCTTGTTTTCTGAAACTTGGGATTTTTGTCATTATTGTTCTGAATTCCAAGGCAGGATTTTTTTCTTCCCCTTTATTTTGGGTATTTTAATCCACATATAAGTGAAAACCAACTGCAATATTAACCAATATTAATCTAGCATATTTTGCTTTGCTTAAAGTAAAATCAAAGCCTTTAGAAATATTTCAGCTCTCATTTCTGTATAAAATTCAGCTTTGAATTTTACTGCTTATTTAATATTAAAGAGAAAAAGTTGAAGGGAAGCTTACCACTGGTACAATATACTTTCATTATGGCAAACTCTTTCAGACAAAAACAACAGTATATAATATTTATACATCTGTTAAGAAAGAAAGTAATATATATCTAAAGAATTTACTGGGAAAATAATGTGACTCACTTTAAATGCCAAAAGAAAAAGTGCCCAATCCTTTGATTAGTCAATGCTTTCTTGAGTAAAAATCTCACAAGCAGGTTATCCAAATACTGTTCATATTTTAGGACCTATGTGATTAAACACAAAGATAAAAACAACATTGCATCAATCAGGGTCAATTTTTGCATGGTTGGATTTAAAGAAAATTTTTGCATGGTTGGATTTAAAGAAAATGTTTTAGAAAGTAAGTAGGTACTACTGGTAATAAAACTGATTTTAAAAAAGGCATAAAACCAGTGTAGATAAAGATCCACAGTTTGGATAAAGTTGCATGGATTTAGAATAGAACATTATTTTTCTATTTTACATTATTTTACCTGTACTAGCTGAATTAGGTACTGAGAAAGCTTGTCATCTGTTAAGTATTTTTCCAAGCACCGAACAGCAAAACCTCGAACCATAGGATCTGGGTAATTACAGTCCAGAAGCTCCATAGCCTGTTCAGGCTTGATTGGAGGCCAGTCTTTTACTAAGCAGTACATCTGTTATGGGAAAGACAAATCATATTTAAAAAGGAAAGGCAATTGTGAGTGAACTCTCTAAGACATTGTCTTAATTTATTATTTTAAAATTAGTTAAGAGCTCTCCTTATGAATTTGGTGTTTAAAATGTTCAATTCTAATTAATTTTATCAGTGGAGTGTTGTGAATGGTATTTTTCTCCACTATATTATCATTACTAATATAAAAACATAGTCTCTTTCACCTCTTATGCAGACTTTCTGAGAGAAAACAATTTGAGTGACACACCAATTGTATACAATAGTTATTCTGTAATCTCAAACATGCATTTACCTGCGCTACTTCATCTCTAGAATTCCATTTAACGGACAGAAGCAGTTTGGGTAGAATTTCAGGGATAGTTACACAATAGTGTCTGTGTGGAAAAGACAAAACAAAACAAAAAACATTCTTGCATGTTATTCAAAAGGCCTAGATATCTAAATTTTCAACTATGTAATCTTTCCACTTTCAAAACTTACCATTACTAGCCTTCTTTAAAATCAAAAGAAATCAGCATTTAACACTATAGTTGCATATTTATGCACATATACACTTAGTTATAATGTCAAGAAAGACAAAAGAAAAATCCAAATGGAAGACAGATACTTTGAACAAATTATGAACTTATAACACTACAGAGCTCCTTTTATGTACCTACTTACCCCATAGGAACCATGAGAAGAGTCGCCACTTCTACTGTAGTCACTGGACAAAATTTATGTTTCAATGGACTTTCTGTAGAAATGTGCTACAACTGCTTTATTTAAATAAATCAGTATATAATTCCCAAGTACTAGGGTAATTCTTCATAAGTGAAAATAAAGCATTGCACTATCACTTTGATGAAGTCTAAGAAAAAAATGGAAGGAACGCCTAAAAATTGAAATATCTAGACCAACTACCTCACAACTAAATTGATCTAAAGCTGTAGGGTATTTTTTTTTTCTTCAGATCTTTAATTTCATTAAAAAAAGCCCCCAAAATCAAATCTTAAAAAAAGTCGTATCAGGGATTTAGAATTTTAAAAAAGCCTTCAAGGCTTGAAGGTGGAAGGTTAGCACCAATGCAGCATGATTTTCTAGAAATATTGATCTTTATCCACAGTTTAAAAAAGAATAATGTTTATAATAAAAAGTCACGTAAATTATGCTTTATGTACTTTAACAGGTATGGTAGAACCTGCAAGATAAGCCAAAATCTGTTGTTCCTTCTGTAACAGAAGAAACAGGGAATCTCCATCTTAATATTTACCTGTGGCTCCACAGAAAATCTTTCTCTTGCTCAGTGATTTCAGATAGAGGATCTCGGGTACAAATTGCTCGGAGCTGTTCTTTATCATTTTCTCTTAATTCGTTGTCTCTAGCTAGTCTGTTACTCTGCAAAATAAAGTAATATAATGATTTCCTTTGCCATATTTTTTCCTGGATTCATGAGTGATCTATAAAAAAAGACAATGGCCAACAACTCTATATTGCTTATTAACTGTTGTGAAACAGTTTATTCTCATCATAAGCCTTTATTTTCAGGGATGGGGGAGAATCAACTTAAGGCAGTATTTGCAGAACAAATCCAGTATCTTAGTTAACATTACCACCAGCCACAGAACAGTAACTACCAAAGTGAGTCAGGCATAAGACCAGACTGGGATACTCAGGGGTAGAAGTGAGTAACTGATTTCTCTTCCTGATGAGGCCCCTTCCTAGTATTCTATTAACTAATCTGCTCATGTTTCCGGAATAATACAAAATAGTAAAATAATAAAATAAAAATGTAAATTCTTTCATAATCTTTGCTCGAATACATCCTTATAATCACTGCAAGGCTTTCAAATTTAAAAAGTAAAAGTAAATAAGAGAAAAAAGGAAAAGAAATACCCCCGTTAAAACACTGGACATTAAATGTTTGGAAACTAAAATGAAAATACCATATCCTTCGGTATAATTCCAAGATTCCAAGTAACATATTTATTCCCTTTAAATACAGATATATTAACTGCATAATGAGTAATTATCAATGTATATTAATATATCATGAAAACAAGTATACATCCCTTGGAAGGTTACACATATTCCCAATGGCTAAAAACGAAAGCAGGCATCCATGCCACTTGGTTTTTATTAACATTTTTTAACATTTTATTAACATTTAAATATTAATTTATCCAATAATATAAAGAAATATTGGCACATGTCCATCAACAAATATTTATTAAAACATGTAGCGTGTGCCTTGTTTTGTTCCTACTGCTGGGAACAAAAGAACCTGCACTAACAGGGTCCCCATTATAGTGAAAGATTAAATGAACAAATAAAAAAAATTGGCAAGTTGATACAAATACTTTGGGTGATGTAATGGAGAATGACTGAGTGGCTATACTTTACACTGGGTGTTTGGAAGTGGCCTCTGAGAAGGGAATATTTATTTATTTATTTATTTTTTTTTTTAAAGATTTTATTTATTTATTCATGAGAGACAGAGGGGGAGAGAGAGAGAGAGAGAGAGAGAGAGAGAGAGAAGCAGAGGGAGAAGCAGGCTCCCAAGGAGCAGAGAGCCCGATGCGGGACTCGATCCCAGGACCCTGGGATCATGACCTGCGCCGAAGGCAGATGCTTAACCATCTGAGCCACTCAGGCGCCCCGAGAAGGGAATATTTTATTAGTGATCCAAATGACAAGACAGAACCACCCACACTAACATCAGGGAAAAGACCACTGCAGATGGAGGAAACAGTGAAAGTGACCCAAGGAGAGAATGAGTTTGGAGTGAGGGAGGAACAGGAAGAACACCTGTGAGCCTGAAGCCCAGTGGATGAGGGGAGCGGTGATGAGAGGTCAGAGCACGTAAAATTTGCAAATCAGGGTAAAAGGTTTGGATTTTATTTTTAGCAAAAGCTATTTAAGGGATGATTTGATTTATGTTTTACAAAGATTATTCTAGCTGCTTTGTAGACTGAGGAAGACCATTTAGGAGGCTACTGTAATACTCCAGATAAGAGATAACAAATACTTAACCCTTGATTCACCAGGAAAAATAGTCATTATCATTTATCATCTTGGTCCAAGTGACTCTTAATATTATTGGCTTATTTTTAGTTGTTTTCATTTTTAACACAAAATAAATGTGAAAAACAACTTTATTAGATATCTTATTAAGAATTTAAACACAGCAGAACCAAATTCATAATCCAAAATGGGCAACATCCTTTGAATGCCATTAATTGCTTGCTCATCAACTGTCATGCATGAGCCTGGAACATACACATCTTGTAGATACTGATTCCTGACTTCAAATGCATATCTAGTAAGTTCTAGCTTATCATTACTCCTGGTTTTTCTTCTTGTACTTGAACTGTCAAAATGTAATACTTTTGAGAACTTTTAGAGTAATCCAAGCAATTTTATATTTCTACATCACCGTTTTCCTTCTACTTATCTTTTCATACACACCTGCCTGTGATGTTTATCCACTTAAAAAGTATATCAAGTAAATTTTGGTGTACAGCAGCATTAAAACTGGAAAGAAAGATGAGGTGTGGTCCAAGTTCTCATCAAAAAATGTGTGATGAAGTTATTCCTGTTGAATGACTAACTGCATGTGAATACCATATTCCTTTTTGTCCTTGGAAATACATTGTTCACTCATCATATCTTGAGTTCGAGAAAATTCATCTAAGATATATTTGATGTTTTCCCTATACGATCAATTTTACTATCATCATTAGAGTCTGGAGTAATGATTCTCAAGTGGCGTAATTTTGTACCCTCTACCTCCCAGGACCTTTTATATTGTTTGTATCTTAGATTTATAAAAGTTTATAAAAATAAATAATTTTTTTTCTTTAAAGAAAAAATTCTAAGAAAAAAAAAGTCATAAAATATCAATCCTTACAAAGAGTTAGAACTGCTCAAAAAAGAAACTCAAAGCTAATTGAGACAGACTCTGATGGTAAAGTGAATGTATGAATAAAAACAGGAGATAAATGAGTCTTAAAGTAATGATTTTAAATTAGTTCATACTTATCCAAACACCTGCTACATATCTCTGAAAGTATACTGGCAGGAAGGTTATGATTATTACTAATCAGTTTACAAAAGGGATTTGTAAACTCCTTACTGAGAACACAGCTATAAACTAATAAAGTTCCTCAGTGCAGGATTCCAGCTGCCCCAGGGAGGCATATTTCAGACCTCCTGGCCCCATACTCATTGGTTGGTCTAAGTATAATGTATCACGAGGCCAAAGAAAAAGCAATAAATTGGAAACTAGGGAAAGAGACAACAAAGAACAAAAATACCTTCTTCTCTTAGCACTGACGCCATTGCCCTTGAGAAATAAGAGAGTTAATGGTCCTTGAACCCAGGTATACTGTGGTTCCAAAGTAATGGCCAAGATCAGACAACTTGATCCATATTTAAACTCCCATTTTATATGTAATCTTTTCCAGGGGATTTGGAGTATGGTGGTAACAAAGCTCTCCTCCACTTCCAAGCTCAACTAACAACATACTCATACTTTCGTTTCAACTTTAAGGTTACTATCTCAGAGAATTAAAAAGTTCTTTCTTGGGGCGCCTGGGTGGCTCAGTTGGTTAAGCGACTGCCTTCGGCTCAGGTCATGATCCCAGGGTCCTGGGATCGAGCCCCGCATCGGGCTCCCTGCTCCGCGGGAAGCCTGCTTCTCCCTCTCCCACTCCCCCTGCTTGTGTTCCCTCTCTCGCTGTGTCTCTCTCTGTCAAGTAAATAAATAAAATCTTTAAAAAAAAAAAAAAGTTCTTTCTTGAACCCAATATATATCAGCTTTTCACCCCAACCCTCTGTAATCATTCTTGGCACACTACTGATTTTTCCATCCTAGCACCTACCATGATTTATAATCTTATATTTCTTTTACCACTTTAATGTCTATTTTCACATTAGACTGTATACACAATGGAGGTCTCTTTAGGTCACAACTTTGTTACCTAGTACCTCTCATACAATAAATACAAACATAGTTGGCATTCAATAAATATTTGTTAAATGAAGGCAGGCTAGGGCTCTGAATAAACTAAGAGGCAGAACTGCAGTAACAATATTAGCATATGGAGAATGTGATTATATCGCAACTCTGTCCAGAGCCCATAGTAACTAAAACACATGAACCCTTCTTCAAACAAAGAGGATAAACCCAAATCCACCGATTATGACTGATACTTAAGAAAACTCAGTGATCTGCCTTACCAGTCCTGCATGGGAATAACTAAATCCTGCTTCCCGAGACACCGACCAGTTGGCATGCTCTTCAATCACTGACATATCTGGGAACTTTACCACACTGCTGAACCAGTCAAACTCCAACTCTAAGCATGGGGTTTCCTAAGAGATGGAATAAAAGTTATCATATATATTGTGCTTAACTGTCATAAAAAAAGGAAAAAATTCTAATTTATGATAATAAAAAGCTTACTTTATTTGGATTTGACCCAGTAACACCAATAGGGTTCAGCAAATCTTCTAATCCATGAGGTACTGGCCAAAGATTCAGAGCCATTTTTCCAGATACTAGAGTATCTGTGTAATCAAACAAGTTTATATTTCCCCAGGCTAATGGACAGTGTTCCTTCAAAAACGAACAGAAAAATATTCACTACTCTGTGGATTAAATTACAAAATGCATTTCAAAACACTTTTCTTCCCCAGAAAGAATTCAATAACTATCGCTACAACGGTATCTATAATAAGCCACATCAATTTTTTTTGAAAATACAAGCACTTTCTGTTTTCCTATTTGAAATTACATGAATTTGTCTTTAATTATAAATAGGAAATATGAACCAAAGCAAGCCAGGCAGATATTGGCATGTAGTCACCTAACAGATATCTGTGGGTAGTCACTCTGCATGTTTAAAAAAATTGTGTCAATGCAAACTCAGGAGATACTCATTGTAAATAAACTCAGGAAGCTCTCCTGAGGTATTCTTCTATGAGACATTTATTTATTAAAAATTTAAAATATTTGACTAATTTTTTTAGATAAAGAAAAAAATCCATTTCTTGATAAAAATTCCAATCAGCAGTATAATTAGGAGTTTTTTACAGGTAAATATAATTATTCCTTCTGAAATACTTTACCTCTTTAGCACCCTTTCGGCCTTTAACAGAACAAATGGAAAGGCAAAGTCGAGCAGCACGAGGAAGATCAGGAATGTATATATCATAATTTAGCCATTCATTCCACCTATGTAAAATTTTAAAGAAAAAAAGAATTTACCAAAAAAAGGCTTTATCCAGAGTATATAAACAACTCCTACAAATCATCAAGAAAACGAAAAATCAGAGATCAACTGGAATAGACATACTTCACAAGATCATATCCAAATGGCCAATAAACATAAAAATGTAGTCATTATTATTTGTCATCCAGAAAACGCAAAATAAAATCTCATGGAAATATTACTATACAAGAGATTGGCTAAAACTATAGAGGCTGATGATACCAATGATGATACCAAGGGAGAGTAAGGAGCTATAGTAACAGGAAATCTCACACATTGCTAGTGATGAGTATTTGCAAATATCCCCCAAGTGTTAACAAACCAAATGTCCAAAAGTTGAATATATTGCAGTATATTTGTATAATGGAATACTATACAATAATGGAAATAAACACGTTACACATGTTACAATATGGATGAAATCTTACAAACATGAGTGAAAGAAACTAGACATAAAAGAGTATCTATTCCTTGAGTACATTTATATAAAATTCAAGAACAGTTCAAACTGAAAAATAATGTTAGATGTCAGGACAGTTGTTGCCTTTGGGGAGGTGAGAAGGTTAATGCGAAGTGGCAATATCATATTTCTGGTAAATGTTCTATTTCTTAACCAGCAGAGTGGTTATATAGGTATTAACTTTGTGATAATTCACTGAACTTTATGAATACAACTTATATACTTTTATTATTTTATTCACCATACATCATTAGTTTTTGATGTAGTGTTCCATGATTCATTGTTTGCATATAACACCCAGTGCTCCATTCAGTACGTGCCCTCTTTAATACCCATCACCAGGCTAACCCATACACCCACCCCCTCCCCTCTAGAACCCTCAGTTTGTTTTTCAGAGTCCATAGTCTCTCATGGTTCGTCTCCCCCTCCGATTTCTCCCCCTTCATTCTTCCCTTCCTGCTATCTTCTTCTTCTTCTTTTTTTTTTAACATATAATGTATTATTTGTTTCAGAGGTACAGGTCTGTGATTCAACAGTCTTACGATTTATATACTTTTAATGCATTTGTGCTATACTTCAGTAAAAAAAAAATAATTAAAAACAAACTAGCTTACAGAAAAGGCACAGGAAAGAGGGAAACTAAACAAGAAGAGTGAGATTTCCTACTTTTACATATGGTGTAGTTTTATTCAGAAGAACCCGTTAAGTATGTAAGTAAAATGAAGGATATGTAAGGGTAAAGTATTTGAAGTTGAGAATAACTACTTCACAAGAGGTAACAGTTAACATTCATAACAAAGAAAGAATAAAAAGTTGCTTTAGAAAGTGATGACAAATATTTATGGTAAATTCCTTTCAATTTACTGGATATTATGTGTGAAATTATGTCTATATTTGGTGGACATATTTGTAAAGAGCCAATTAACAATACATTGTTGCTTTTTTTTTTTTTTAAAGATTTTATTTATTCATTTGAGAGAAAGTACAAGCAGGAGAAGGGGCAGAGGGAGAGGGAGAAGCAGGGTCCCCACTGAGCAGGGAGCCCAAGGTGGGGCTGGGCTCGATCCCAGGACCTGAGATCATGACCTGAGCTGAAGGCAGTTGCTTAACTGACTGAGCCACCCAGGTGCCCCACAACACATTGTTTTGTCTTGTTTTGAAACATCATAGCAACAGTTACCAGTATAAAGTCAGAAGTCAGACTACCTAGAGTAGATTCCTGTTCCTACCATTTTATTAAATGTGTGACCCTTTGTGATGTGATGAGCACTGGGTATTATCTGCAACTAATGAATCACTGAATATTACATCAAAAAAACTAATGATGTACTATATGTTGAATTTAAATAAAAAAAATGTGTGACCCTTGCTTTTGTCTGTTTTCTCATCTGTGAAATAACACTAATAATAGTACTTACTCTCTAAGGTTGTTGTGAAGATTAAATGAGATAACACAAGTAAAGGGGTGCCTGGCTGGCTTGGTCAGATAACACAAGTAAAGTGATTAGAATAGTAACTGGTCCACAGCAAAAGTTCAAGTGCTAAGATATTAATCTAGAAAATCTCTTCAAAAGGCTTTTTCATAATTCTATTTTTTATTATAAATAAGACCTAACAATAAAATGGCATAAAATTCTATTTTTAATTAGCCAAACTAAGGTATGAACTTTATCAGTAAAATAAGTTCTACTTATGGACAGAGATTAAAAAAAAATATGGTCCTTTGATGCAGAGAATGCTTACATTTAAGTGGGAGAACTTAGTAGTAAGAAATTCTAAAGGGGAAAGAGACAATAAATTCAAGTAGAAGAAATACTGTGGGATCTGATAGGGCTACAATAATTTAAGAAAAACTAAAGATACACGTACTCACATGTACCCAAGAGTTTTTATTACTTCTAAAACTTTAGAATTGCTTATAATTAATGAGAAATATTCTACACACTTTCTAAGAGAGCTATGTCCTATAAATGTAGTTGTTCAATACTATGCTAATTGACCAAAACATGTTTCTCTCTTCCTCTAAAGTCCATACAGACACATGCATGCACACATCAATTAAATTCTTTATTTTTAGGCAATGGTTTGATATATATATTCCAAATTTATTCTGATTTTGGAGAGGACTGGTAACATCTATGAAGAAATCATTAAGTGGCTACTTTACCTAGTATATGGGAAGTACGGATTTGGAATAATCACTTAATCTCAGTAAGAATTTTTTTTAAATCAACTTTTCTACCTTTCTAATAACTTCATATTCTTTTATCCTTGATTTTAATTTTGTGAATACAGAAGAGTTAAAAAATCTACTTAAATCCTCATACTATTACCATAGGGATTTTACCCTTTCACTAGAGAATTCTTTTTTATTATTTTAATTTTAATTCCAATATAGTTTAACATAGTTATATTAGTTTCAGGTGTACAATATAGTGATTCAACAATTCTATACAGTACTCATCATAAGTGTACTTGTTTTTTTTTTTTAAAGATTTTATTTATTTGAGAGAGAGAGAGAATGAGAGATAGAGAGCACGAGAGGTAAGAGGGTCAGAGGGAGAAACAGACTCCCTGCTGAGCAGGGAGCCCGACATGGGACTCGATCCCGGGACTCCAGGATCATGACCTGAGCCGAAGGCAGTCGCTTAACCAACTGAGCCACCCAGGCGCCCCCATAAGTGTACTTGTAATCCCCATCACCTATTTTTCCCATTGCCCCCATAACCTCCCCTCTGATGACCCTCTGTTTGTTCTCTCTAGTTAAGAGTTTCTTGGTTTGTTTACTTTTTTCCCCCTTTGCTCATTTGTTTTATTTCTTAAATTCCACATGACTGAAATCATATGGTATGGTATTTGTCTTTCTCTGACTCACTTTGCTTAGCATTATAACTCTAGCTTCATCCACGTTGCTGCAAATGGCAAGATTTTTCTATGGCTGAATAATATTCTATTGTGTGCATGTGTGTGTGTGTGTGTGTGTGTGTGTACACAGCTCTTTAGCCATCCATCTATCAATGGACACTTGGGCTGCTTCCATAATTTGGCTATTGTAAATAATGCTGCTATAAACTATAGGAGTGCATGTAGCTTTTCAAATTAGTGTTCTGTATTCTTTGGGTAAATACCCAGTAGCAGGATTACTGGATCATAGGGTAGTCCTTTTTTAATTTTTTTGAGGAACCTCCTTACTATTTTCCACAGTGACTGCACCAGTTCACATTACCAGCAACAGTGCATGAGGGTTCCTTTTTCTCCACAAACTCACCAACACTGTTGTTTCTTGTGTTTTTGATTTTAGTCACTCTGACAGGTGTGAGGTAGTATCTCCTTGTAGTTTTGATTTGCATTTCCCTGATGATGAGTGATGTTGAGCATCTTTTCATGTGTCTATTGGCCATCTGGATGTCTGACTTCTTTGGATATGTCTGTTCATGTTTTCTGCCCATGTTTTAATTGGTTTATTTGGTTTTGGGGTGTTGAGTTTTTTAAGTTCTTCATCTATTTTGGATACTAACCCTTTATTGGGTATGTTGTCATTCAGTAGGCTGTCTTTTAGTTTTGTTGTTTCCTTTTCCATACAGAAGTTTTTATTTTGATGTAGTCCCAATAGTTCATTTTTGCTTCTGTTTCCCTTGCCTTTGAAAACATGTCTAGCAAGAAGTTGCTGCCTGTGTTCTCTTCTAGGATTTTGATGGATTCCTGTCTCACATTTAGGTCCTTCATCCGTTTTGAGTTTATTTTTGTATATGGTGTAAAAAAAAGTGGTCCAGTTTCATTCTTCTGCATGTGGCTGTCCAATTTTCCCAACACTGTTTATTGAAGAGACTGTCTATTCTTTCTTGTTTTGTCGAAGATTAGATGACCATAGAGTTGAGGGTCCATTTCTAGGTTCTCTATTCTGTTCCATTGATCTATGTGTCTGTTTTTGTGCCAGTACATACTGTCTTGATGTTACAGCTTGAGGTCTGGAATTGTGATGCCTCCAGCTTTGTTTTTCTTTCTCAACATTGAGTCTTTAGGATTTTTTATTTTTTATTTTATTTCATTATGTTATGTTAATCACCATACATTACATCATTAGTTTTTGATGTAGTGTTCCATGATTCATTGTTTGCGTGTAACACTCAGGGCTCCATTCAATACATGCCCTCTTTAATACCCATCACCAGGCTAACCCACCCCCTCACGCCCCTCCCCTCTAGAACCCTCAGTTTGTTTCTCAGAGTCCATAGTCTCTCATGGTTCGTCTCCCCCTCCAATTCCCCCCCTTCATTTTTCCCTTCCTACTATCTTCTTCTTCTTTTTTTTTTTTTTTAACATATAATGTATTATTTGTTTCAGAGAGTCTTTAGGATTTTCTAATAGAGTATCATGTCATTTGCAAATAGTGGAAGTTTTACTTCTTCCTTACCAATTTGGATGCCTTTTATTCCTTTTTCATGTCTGATTGCTGTGGCTAGGACTTCCAGTACTATGTTGAATAAAAGTGGTGAGAGTGGACATCCTTGTCCTGTTCCTGATCTTAAGGGGAAAGACCCAATTTTTCACCATTGAATATGATGTTAGCTGTGGGTTTTTCATAGATGGCCTTTATTATGTTGAGAGTTTTTATCATGAATGGATGTTGTACTTTGTCAAATGATTTTTCTGAACCTATTGAAATGATCATATGGTTTTATTCTTTCCCTTATTGATGTAGGATATCATGTTGACTGATTTGCAACTACTGCCACCCTTGCATCCCAGGAATAAATCCCACTTGATTGTGGTGAATGATTTTTTTAATGTATTGTTGGATTTGGTTTGCTAATATTTTGTTGAGGATTTTTATGTCATGTTCATCAGAGATACTGGCCTGCAGTTCTAAACTAGAGAATTTTTGAAGAAAAGAATCAAATTTAAGTCTTCTCTAAATAGCTAATTTACTAAAATTCTGAGCTTTTAATCTTATATTATTAAACAAATTTACATTTTGCTTTTATAAAACTAGTTTACTTTTGGTACTTGAAACAACTTGAAAAAATATATCTACCCAATATTATTTTGGGGTCTTTGGTTGGGGCTTGTTGAACTCCTTAAAATGTTTATAGTTTTCAACAAATTTGGCAAATTTTTGTCCAGTATTCCTCAAATATTGTTTTTCTGTTTCTCACACAAACACCCCACCCAATCTGTGACAGACATGCAGTATGGGTGGGAAATAAACTTTTCCCGTTACAACAAAAATTTAAAAAGATCCTGTAGTTGTTTGTTTCACAGTATAACTTCTAATTTAAATAATGTACTTTCTGATTGACAATAGTTCAGATAGGGTAAGGAACTATTTTACTATTTACTATTTTACTCCTGGTAGAGAAGGCTATCACCTCTTTGAACTTCACCTAGGCTCTAGAATGGTGGCCATATCTAGCAACTTAATTACAAGACCAGGACTTTTTCTTGACTTTCCCAGAACTCAGTCTAAATTCATTATAAAATTTACCTCTGGACGTTTTACTAGTTGTCTCTATTGCTAGTCTACAAAATCCATCTTTAATTTTTAGTAACAATTCGAGTGCTCTTAAAATATTTCTATTATATTCAGGGTAGGCTCTTAATTCTCAAATGATTCTATAAAGAGCCAAAGAAATAGCAGGATGGCAAACTGTTGGATTATATTACCTTTTACTTCTTCATTGTATTTCTAGCCAGTAATCATTTAAAATGTTCCCCCAAACTCCCTCTCAGAAACTGATTTGTTCCCAAAGACTCTTTATTTGAATGTCATAAAGATCTACTCTTGTGAGTGATGGGAGTGCCTCATAGTCTGGCTCTGAAGTTGTTTGCCAACTCTCATTTCTCAATGTAAATGTAAAGGGACATAAGAATAAAATACTAGGTTAATGGATCTAATGTGGGGAATCATCAGCACAAAATGCAACTATATTCTGTTCTCTACTTGATATAATGGAAAGAGGGAATCAGAAAAACCCTTCAGATAAAATTTTACAAGGAATTAACAAAATGATCTTGTGACAGATACTCATTTGACTGAAAGTCCTTATGGTCTATATGTAAATGTCTGGTAATTTAAATTACTTGTATAAAACTAACGATGCAAAAAAAATTTAATACTTTTATTGATTACATTGCTAAATACTAACATGGCTTTTGGAAATATAAATCCATACACTTCCTTACCTGGGATTGGAACAAGGTACTCTTTGAGTGTTCACATTATCGCATAAGGGTTCTCCTCCATGGTAGATACCTGTTCGAACATAGATCTTAAAAAAGAAAAAAAAAGTTTGTGTATATAAATACATAACAAATACACACACACACACTACAGAACCAATATTAAACAATATTAAAATAATGTAACTGATATGAATGACAGAATCCATCAGAAGTTTCTGTTCAGATGTAGCTTTTCTGTTCTTCACATATATAATAAGTTAATACTGATGCAGGTTCTTTTTTTTTTTTTAAAGATTTTATTTATTTATTTGAGAGAGAGAGGATGAGAGAGAGCACGAGAGCGAAGAGGGTCAGAGGGAGAAGCAGACTCCCTGCTGAGCAGGGAGCCCGATGTGGGACTTGATCCCAGGATTCCAGGATCATGACCTGAGCCAAAGGCAGTCGCTTAACCAACTGAGCCACCCAGGCGCCCTCTGATGCAGATTCTTCACCAAACAAAATGTGTTGCTGCCTTTAGGGGGACATCACACTATAAAAAAATCAATATAGACTCACAATTCCTTTAGGCCAGTATGTAATTCAGAGTTTTTCATATTTTAGAAAGATAAATTCTACATTTATATATATATACATTTATATATTCTACATATATCTGGTACATATACTAAATATTACTTCATATTCTTAGCAGCTGGAACAGCACCCCATAAAGACATTAACATTTCTGAACAAAACACATGCATATTTACACTAAATGGGATATACAGAGACTATAAAAATTCCTGCTTCAGGTTAGGTGAGGTTTTGCTGCCACATGAATTCTGTAAAACTCATGGTTTTAAGAACTTAGATATACGGAAATTAGAATTATGAGAATATTAGAATTATGGATATCAGCATTACAGACAAAGGACTGTAAGCTGTGCAACATCTGAGGGAGAGGAGTTTTCTAGCTATCTGAAAACAGTGCAGGTCAACAGATTATTATACACAGTTCAATAAAAAAGTTAATGTAAAATAATTTATATAAATAAGCATCAACACTTGACTTTACCTTGTCAATGTCTCGAATATTTACATTCACATAGGTCGCACAAAGGATTTTTATTCTGAGTGCACTATTTATAACCCAAAGGGATTTTGTAGATGTTTCTCCATTCATATATGGTGTAGCTGTGGAGATGCGTCTGGAATATGAAGGCATTGTGAAACAGTCCATTGGCAGTTGGGAGTAAAGGCTTTCTTTAGCCATCAGCATCAAATTGGGCATCCTCCCAAGCATTATACAGCTTCTTATGTACTGTAAAAGATTAAGAGGGGAGGGAAAAAGCCATTTCTTATAAGGTGTTTCATTTTAAAAGCAACAAACATGTAAGCAAAAAAAAAAACTAACAAAGGAATTAAAAACAATGACCAGAGGATACTCATTATGAAAACACTGTTTATATCTGAACAATGTTAATCAGCTTATCCATATATCTACAGTCAGGCCCCAAATATTAAATATATAAAATCTAAAGGAAAAAAAGCATCTGTTCTCTCAAATTCAATTCATCATGAATCTCGCAAATTAAATATAGTATATATTTTTTTAAACTTTAAAAAATTTACTTATTTGAGAGAGAGCGGGAGAGAGAGAGAGAGAGCACAAGCAGAAGGAGAGGGAGAAGCAGGCTCCCCACTGAGCAAGGAGCCCTATGCAGGGCTTGATCCCAGGACCCTGAGATGATGACCTGAGCCGAAGGCAGACGCTTAACCACCCAGGTGCCCCAAATAGAGTATTAAAAATTAACTTATGAAGCTATTCACTAATATATAAGTATGTCCTAAAAATACAGATACTTGTCCCCAACTTTTACATTTCCTATCAATATTTTTGAAGCTTGTTACTCACCTTATACTGACTTAGAGGATATTTTTCAAGGAAGTATTCATCACATCCACACACTTTTAAAATATATTTGCCCTGATATTCTAAAACACAGAGTTTTAGTTGTTCAGATGATAGCAACATGCTTCTAGTTTTTTTCCTGATTGCTTCAGCAATTACTTGTTCTGGCACACAGTCATGGTTGATTTTCAGAGTATACTTCTGCTTGTCATTATTTGGAGAAACTATTACCCAAATCACCACTATGATTTGCCCTATAATAGGAAAACATTATTAGATGCAATCACCATATATATTTCATTTTTCAAGAGACAAATTTCAAAAAGTATGTACTACCATTATTCTAGCCATAATCAGAAATGACTTATAATCAAACTAATTAAATACAGGTAAATATCAGGTAGAAACCACAAATCTTCAAATATGATAGGGCTGCCAGGCCATGCCCAAATCTCGTGTTTTATGGCAAGCATGCAAAACTGTGACGAGAGTCACAATACCTGAGGCCAAGCTAATTTCCATTCTAAACTGCATCACATACTTCATGAGAACAACTCCTGTGAAGAGTGACTCATGGTGCTATCAAAGTAGAAGAGTTTTTGGTAACTATGGGAAAGAATCATGGAGACTTAATGAAAATGCTGAATCAGGAGAGAAAAGATGGTGGAAGAAGGGAAAGAATATGAATTCTTAAATGTTTTCCTTTTAAGATCAATTAAGCTGGGAGGAGGGGTGAAGATGATGAAAATGGAAAGATTAAAACTATGGTAGAGTGGTCCAAGTGTTCACAGTACAATTCTTTCAACTTTTCTGTAGGAAAATTTTCATAAAGAATGTTGGCTGAAAATGAAAAGAGACTTTCATTTTAAAAGGTATGCTAGAGTAGAAAAGAATTTCAAATGAAGATTTTATGTTATACTGCATTAAACTAGTTTGAATAATATGAGCGAAATAGTAATAAGATGTCTTAACTTATTCTACCAACAGAATTTTGTATTTAAGAGTGTGTGAAAGCTAACTTACTCTAAAACTTCAAATTGAAACTTTCACTTTGTTATGTTGAAAAATAGATATTCATCTGATACAATGATATTTTCATTTCCTAAACAACAGAGTGTATAAATTTCCATGTTCACTTTTTTTTTTAAAAGATTTTATTTATTTATTTGACAGAGAGAGACACAGTGAGAGAGGGAACACAAGCAGGGGGAGTGGGAGAGGGAGAAGCATGCTTCCCGCGGAGCAAGGAGCCCGATGCGGGGCTCGATCCCAGGACCCTGGGATCATAACCTAAGCCGAAGGCAGACGCTTAATGACTGAGCCACCCAGGCGCCCCTCCATGTTCACTTAATTCTAGAAATTGATACAGTAAGTGTCAAAAGTCATTCTATATATTATCGCTCATGATAAGATTTAATTATTCCATTTATTATTAAGAAATTTTTCTTTGTATATATATAACAAAAATGTTCAAAGTTTTCCCAAAATTTCATAAAGTATTTCTATTTATACTCTTTTTATTTGTAAAAAGATAATCAGCTATAACTGTATAATAATGAATTTCAAACTCAAAGTTCTTTAGTTTTATTTTAAGATACACAATTCACTGGGATCAGCACTGTATGTGCAAAATTCATTCAATCAATAAATATTTATTACACACATATATATTTGGCACTCAGCTATATCTTGTCAGTATAAGCAGTCCCTGTCTTCCAGAAGCTTATCACGTAGCTGGGATAAAAAGAGATAGAAATTTTTACTATAGTAACCAATTATGATAGATTGACAATTTTCTTACCTTTATCTAATTTATTATATATGTGCTTTGGCAGTTCTGGTGAAGATTCTACATTTGGAGGATAGACATACATTGCTCTACTATGAGGTGAGTTAAGATCCCGAAGATCCACAGCTTCTTTACAAACATTCAGAATATTTCGTCGGAAGTCCTGTACTTCAGGATCTTTAACCATATCAAATTCACACACTGGCATGCCAATAGCAAAACCTTAAAAAAATTATATAAAGAATATAACATTCTATTAAACATATAGTATGAACATGTCTCTTACAAATGGGGAACCTGACACATTTGGAAGTTCACAATAAAGAAGTCTCTCTGTGTTTAAAGAAATTTTGATGAATACATAAAGTAAGAGTTGACAAAGACTCAAATATTTTTAACATATAATATATAATATATTCAGCAACTTGGAGGAAAGTCAGCAAACATCCATGTAATTTTTTTTTAAAAGAGTAACAAAACAAAACTGGGATATAACAAATCTAAGTCAACCCTACAAATGATATTTCTTAAAGAAAAATTTATAGGATACTACCAAGGTGTTAAAAATAGTTCCTTAGCCAGGTAGTCAAAAAATACTTTCAATTTGTAATGGTTTTCATTTCAAAATCTATTTATTTTTTATTTAAGGTTACAAAGGTAGTTAACTGATTCAGACAGAAATATTTTAGTAACGAGAAAATAGTGAAGTTTCATAGTTATTTGCTTTTAGAATGACAATGCCATTTAGTCAAAAACTGAGTCATACCAATTTCTCGATTGAGGATCTTTTCTTCTCGGTTGCCTACTGGCTCAATTACTTTTAAAAAGGGTTGAAAAAGCCGAAGGTCACAAAGTCGTCTTGTTTCATCAAAAAATTCTTCCCTTTCTGCTTCTTGGGTAACACTTACGAAAATGTAAGAAGATTCATCTTGAAGAAGTTGATGGAGAGGGTACTTTCTTGCTTCTTTAAATAATTCATGCTTTATAGTTATTAATGTAGCCTCACGGAGGCATTCTAACGTCACTATCATTCCATTTGGTAGTAAACATTCAACTAGGATTCTTGGGGGCATCAAGTGGATGCCCCACAGTTCACCTGATGATGGTCTTGGAGGCATTGTTCTGATCCTTTACAAGTTTTACATATAAAACTATTTTAAGGAATTAGATGTGTGGCTGTCCCAAAGCAGAAATCTAAACCAAAGGGGAAAAAAAAATGTTAAAAGAAAAACTACAGAAGAATATATTTATGGCATTACTAAATGTAAAAACTCATTTTCTGTAGTTTGAATTGATTAGGGTATTAATAATTTATCTTAAATATTTTGATGGAGACTCTTGCTCCAAATTAGGCTGAAAGAATTGATTCCAAAGCAGGAATTAGAAAAAACACTTGGACTGGAAAGGATCTTTTAGATCATGGGTCCATTGCTCTCATTTTAAAGGTGAGTAAAGGTGAGAGAACTCAAATCTTCCTTTTCACTCCCTACCACTACCCTGTGGTAATGAGAAATTACATGGCTTGGTCTTTTTCTTAAATTCATCTTTGTGATTTCCTGCTTTGTATTGATTATTGTCTACGTGACACCTTAGACCATTCTGCTTCTGAAGTAGAATTTACGAATATATTCACTATAATATAAAGTGTCATCAATACATCCTTGAGATACGATGATCAATTTGAATAATCCATCTACTTTATCAAATAACCCAACCCTAATAATTCTGATCGAAATGATCAACACACAAATGAGACCCACTGATTCTTTGTTAGTAAAATATTCCAACAGTGTTAAGTACTTTTAATATTTTTAAAAATACAAAGTATTATTATGACTTGAAGCCCTCATTTTTAAAGATGTCAAAAATCTCCAGGATTCTTTAGAAGATACTGCAAAACCCACAAAGGCACAGGTTTATCTTTTGCTATTTATATTTATATTTTCTTTTATTCAGCAAGTTACACTGTAAAGGCATAAAAAAAGGTAAGTTGAGAGACATTATAAAAAAGAAAGTTAAGCTAGAGAAATGAATCAAAAGGGCCCAGATAACTTATTATATTTGATTATTCTATCAGGCACTGTGGACAACAGTCATAAATGACACTTTGTTTATTCACTAAAAATGTACTGGGGCTTTTTCACAGGACCATGTTAGGTCCTGGGAATATGATAATGAAGAAGACCGGCATGGCCCTTGCCCTTACAAGGCAAAGTCAAGAGTGTGAAGATTACGAGTTTGTTGGGTATAGGATAATTAAATTCACAGGTAATTAAATCCAGAAACCTATCTTCTCTGACTCCTGTATGTCATACCCATCAACATCTAATCCATCAACAAACTCTGTTAATTCTATCTCCCGAATCTGTATACTCCACTACTACTCTTAGTACCTTGGGTCAGGCCACTACTATTTCTTGTCTGGACCACTGCTAAAGCCTAAATGGCCTCCCTGGATCTAGGTTTGCCCCCTACAATCCATCTTTCACTTTAGAGCCAGTGTGAGCTAGACAGGACAATAGGGTCTACTTTGAACAGACATTTTTGCTATTTTAGTTGCAAACAAGTACTTATAGTATGCTTCAGAGTTCTAATACATGAAGGAGGTGAGAAATAGAAATAGCAAAAATTTCAAGCCCTCCCCCATCTCTAGAAATATAGAAGTCAGTTGGAAGACAATAGAGAATGTAAAACGATTTTTAATAGTTGAAAATCTTCCTTCAAATTTATAAGAGACCCACTGAAGTTATAGGTTTTAAAATATAATTATTCTATTTCCTACACTTCTAAATGAAAATTCATTGGTTAGTAAAAAGACCAGATGGATCAATCTGTGTGCATAATTATAGAAGTGACTTAAGCTAAGCTTTTTAAAACATACAAAAAATTTGAAGAATGCAAGGGAAATGCCAAATGACTACTTTTAAATGATGATCTGACTGCATAAAAAAGTTCAAATAAAAACAAAACCAAACCACAAGCCACACCAAAACAGCAGCTGTGTTTATAGTTTTCTTTGTTGAATGGCGCTAACAGGTCCATGTTATGGAGTCATAGGGGCAACTATATAATAAATAACATCTCAGAGTCTCATATGTCCCCTAAGAATTAGCAAAAGAGAAGTCTAGTATAGTAGAGAGATCACTGGTTCTAATCTTTATCCTACTAGAGTATATTTATGGTCAGTTAACAATTATTAAATACTCAAGACACACGTTCTCATTAAGAGAATAAATGTGATCATAGCCATAAAACACTTGGGAGATTCTGGAAGGCAGGCACTAGTTGACACTGTGGTAGTACTAAATAGAAGAGAGAGGATGCTAACTTTCTTATTTGTCTTATGTCAGGCCTTACTCTGTACAAACCATTACTTCAGAGCTCACATGAACAGAAGTGTAGAAGAGGGGAATGGAGCTAACATTACTAGTCAGTATATATCATGCACTTAGGTGGCAATAACCCTTTCAGGATAGGATTTACCATTTTACATATGAGGAAACTGAAGGTCAGAAAAGTGAAGTTATTTGCCACCAGTAAATGTTAGATAATGGATTTTGAATCCAGGTCTAGATGATTTCAAAGTGCACACTAACCATGCTGCTCTTTGGGCTTCAGTTATGGCCAGGTAATACTCATTGGCAGTGAATAAGAAAATGGGCTCTAAAGTTACACTGGATTCAAATTCTCACTACCTTAGTAAATAGCTGCCTTGAGCAGTTTAATTCATCTCACTGAACTTCATTCTCCCCATCCCATTTTGTTAAGTTGGGATAATGGCAGAAAATTCATCAGATTGTTGTATTAGATGAGGTAATATATGAAAAACATGTAAGCAAAGAGATTGGCATACAGGAAGCATTCAGTAATGTTAAATATTCAGTTTATTAATATAAACCTGTAAAGTACACCCACACTACCTTTTCAAGCTATTATGAATTATCCAGGGCTGGCACCAGATAGGGATGGGAAAAAGAGGTTTGAGTTCTTTTACAGAGGGAGGCAAGTAAATAAGGAGCCTTATAAAGGAGTGCTAGTTTTAAAAGCTGAACTTTGAAGGTAGCACTGGTAATGCAAGGCTCACAGCTGCCTCTAGTTCCCTGGACTCCTAATATTCCTTTTTAAATGGTACAGCTAACTACAGCTTAAGTAAGGAATCCCTTGCTAACCCCCTCCACCTTTTTTTGAAGAAATATCTACTTGTGCTGGGCTCTGAGCTAAATATGCTATGAAAACTAAGGTAAATAAAATGCTTTCTCTTCGGTTGTTGAGGGACTCACAGTTCATTGGGGAATGAAAGCCAAGAACAACTTTGACAATGGAAAATTGTAGGACAGAATATGAACTTTAGTAAAGTCACAGGAAATCTCCAACTGCTTGAGGAGGTTAGGGAAGGCATCAGAGAAGTAAAATTTAAGTAGATTATAGATTAGTAGGGATCTTGCAGGGAAGGTAAGGGGTAGCTTGGACATGGGGAGCTAGATGAGGAAAGCGTTTTAGATTGCCACAAGAGTATGTGTGCAAAGTCACAGACCATGAGAGAACGCAGCCTGTTACCAGCAATACAAGTTGTTTTTTATTACTTGAGTCTGAAGTGCATGGGAATAGGTAGGGTGTGTGGCAAGGAGGGAGGGGGAGAAGTAGGCAGGGGCCAGAAAGGTGAGCAGACTCCTTGTTAAGGAGTTTGAATTTTATGTAATATGCTGTAAGTAAAGGGAGTCTTCTAAAGTATTTTGAGCAAGGGGCGCCTGGGTGGCTCAGTCGTTAAGCATCTGCCTTCAGCTCAGGTCATGATCCCAGGGTCCTGGGATTGAGCCCCGCATCGGGCTCCCTGCTCAGCAAGAAGCCTGCTTCTCCCTCTTCCAATCCCTCTGCTTGTGTTCCCTCTCTCTCTCTGTGTCTCTCTCTGTCAAATAAATAAATAAAATCTTAAAAAAAAAAAAAGTATTTTGAGCAAAAGAATGACATGACATTTTTTTCATGATTTTAAATTTCAGATTAAAAAAATATTTCTCTTCAAACACAGGATATAATCAAATAAGCATTAAACGAAGGTGTAAAAATGGTATCTTCTCAATTCCTCTAATTTGGGGGAAAAAAATCCCTAAAGTTAAGAAATCAGCATATATACATGTAACATTTTAAATAAAAGGGCCTTTACACTATAGAAGAAATTAAATGCTGACAAAGGTGGAATTACCCAAATAGAAGTGCATAATCTATTTACAAAGGAACTTATTTGAAAAGCAATAGAGGGGGATAAATCACCATAAAGTTAATATTTAAAATAAGAATCTCTGCAATTTGGCAGTTTGAAGTCACAAACACATATTTACTAAAAATAAAATACTTTAAGGAACTACTCTATTGTTTTTTTCTTTTCTTTTTACAAACCCTTGTGTTGAGAGCTGACTTTCCATAGACTGCAGCGAGCTATATTCCCCTGCTATGTGGGAAACCCAGACCCAGAAGCAGGGTCTGCCAATTGGTTAGCACCAGGTTCCCCATGAATGTGTACTCAGTGACCCGTGAGGGGCAGCCCCCTTTCTGGCTGTGCCCCATTTTCTGGGACAAGGGGCTCTGCATGGGACCCTGGCCTTGACACTGCTGGCCTTTTGAGTTCAGAATGCCAGGACTAAATATTCATATACTGAAAAATCACAACTATTCAGGACTCTTAGGAAATAAATCAGTTTTACTTACCCTAACTTTTTATATATCTAATGATAAGCTTTTCAATTGGGGTGTTCCTGCTTTCTTAAGAGTATATATAACTCACAATTTCCCCTTTTCTTGACGAATTACAGTCCTCATTATAAAACCAATTACTGTGCTATTCTGAAACACAATACAGCAAAGCACTTCAGCATTACTGAAGAGTCTGAGTGTATTTTTGGCCCTACCCCCAGTGACCCCAGGTTGGAGACGATGCTTTTTAAAATGGTCCCCATCTCCTTGTTTTCCAGTAGTCAATGGTCACTTTTCCGCTGTAGCCCCCCCGGCTTTGATAGTAGCCTCCTCTTCTTCAGTTACTCATTTCTATAAGCATCAACACTGACTACCATTTTATAATAATCTCTAGACTAGAGACCAACAGACCAAATGGTGACTGTATGAACTTAGGAGCACAATATATGTAACAGATACCCTGCTGGTCAGAGATTTTGTTTACTTCCTTGTTCTGGTGTTAACAT